TGATTAGACCGAATTGGCTTCATTTATTGATTAAATTGATAACTATTCTATTTCAGCGTTTTATTTGTATAAATGAGAATCAAGGCACCCCTAGTTTAATACAAGGCTTAAATGATCCAACACCTAATGGTTAATTTTTACAGTCAGTCAAAGTAAAAACTTTTGACATCCCTGGTGCGGTAATGACTAGAGTCCACAAAAGGGTAATAGCTAGTTCCGTCACATTGGTCCAGTCGAACTACAAATTTTATACTAATCTAAAGTAAATAAGCGAGTAAATAAATATCTTGATTTATGAGAAATAGTGAAATTTCATAATAATAATATCATTTATGGTTAAATGTTCAAAGAACGAGAACACAAATTAACTAATTTAAATTTACGAGAGCACAACACAAATAATTCGTAAACTTCAATCAGCTCACTGTATTCACAAAATGTTTATTTATCCTTGAAAGTTCCTTTGTTTATTGAGAGTTAATAATTTGAGCACTTTTCTGCTGAAGTGTGTAAACAATAAGTGCAAGAAAAGTCTATATATATGCTCAGTTTCTATATACAAATTTACAAATTAATGTTCATTTCACGAGTGTGAAAACCAAATTTCTGTATTAAAGGTTAGAACAAAACACTTCAATTTATAGTGCATTTCAACCGAATCAGTATTCAGTATTTATTAATTTATTGTTCGACTGTTTTGAGAAATTGAAACGGTCTTACTTGCTTAATCCAGTTCATACCGGTAGATCCATATAGTGATTATTTATCCATTTATCACTATTCGTAGTAATTTGCACTGACAGCTAAGGAATTTTCCACTGAGAGAGAGAACACAATGATATACAGAGCTGGAGCCCGTCGAGAGTGAGACAGGGATAACCTTAAACAGGCGTAGTAGAGAATTTTGCTTCATTTATTGAATAAATTGATAACTATTCTATTTCAGCGTTTTATTTGTATAAATGAGAATCAAGGCACCCCTAGTTCAATACAAGGCTTAAATGATCCAACACCTAATGGTTAATTTTTACAGTCAGTCAAAGTAAAAACTTTTGACATCCCTGGTGCGGTAATGACTAGAGTCCACAAAAGGGTAATAGCTAGTTCCGTCACAGTCAATGTGATATACGTTGACCGGCAGAATTTTTTTGCCTATGAGATAGTCAAAATTAGGATTTTGCTATATGACTGTAAAGGGTACCTATCAACGAGCTATCGAACGATGTGCAACACAAGGTAGGTTCGTATTTGAAAAAAATAATTTGGGGTAGCTAGCCCCTAAGGGATGAGGCGGGGTGACTCAAAAAGTGCCTCATTTTGGTTCCCCCTCCAATCCCCCAATACGTATTTGAGATCTTGCTGATAGTATTTTTTGTATAAGAGATATTCGCGCTGCTACTTTTCAAATTGTCACTCTGTATGTTTTTTAATGCTTTATTTTGGAGGGCTTGCAATGGTTCCAGAAGAGAAATTCCAGCAGTTCCCCAGACAGAGATCAAAAAATGTAAATAGCTACATAAAAATATAAATAGCTACATGATGTGAGCATAGTAAAGTTTTTTGCGAATTGTCAACTTCAAGAGGTATCCAACTCTATACGAGAACTATGTGATTTGCCCAAGACCGTGTACCATCTATAAAACGTCCCAAATATTTTATTGTACAGGCATTTTTTAGTGACTGGGTTCCAAACATTATGTTTTGGGTATTATTTGAACTTCTTTTACCTAACATCATGTAAGATGATTTTTTAATATTAAGCGTTAATTCATGTGATATTAACCAAATATTCACCACTCCCAGATCCTAAGTAATGCCCGCCCTGATAGAATTAGTGTTTTCACCACAATATACCAAAGCAAAGGTACTTTTAGCTTTATCAACAGTATTCTAGCTTTACTAACAGTATTCTATGGTCTACAGTATCAAAGGCTTTTTGTAAATCGAGGGACACTAAGGCACATATTTGACCACCATTTATTTTAAGCTGTATATCTGAGAATAAATCTATAACTGCCGTCTCAGGGTCTCTGTCCTTACAAAAACCATATTGACTTCCACTCAGCAAATTATTACTATTCAAAAAGACTTGTAACCTTTGAATGACACATATCTCCACAATCTTAGATAACACAGGTACAACTGACATAGGTCTATAAATTGTTACTTCACTTCTGTCACCATCCTTAAACAGAGGTCGAACCCTAGCAATCTTCAACTTACCGGGCACCATACCCGCTTCAAATGAGAAGTCCATAACTTTTCTCAGAATCACTGCCGTTTCATGCTTGAGCTTCAGCACACTGTTGACATCGATTCCATCAATCCCTGAAGTTTTATTTTTTTCCAATCCCTGTATTACGCATTCCACTTCGGCTACCACCACTGGTGTCAAGAAAAATGAGCCGGCTGGCTGGTCTTCTGTTTGTGGTATTGGTGCAGTATAAATGTTTCTTGATAATCTAGGTCCAATATCAACAAAGTATTTATTGAAAGCTTTGGCTATGTCTCGATTGTCTGTCAAGGTTGCTCCATTTTCCTTTATCATGAAAACAGTGTTCAAAATATTATCCTTGTTATAAATTACTCTATAGGTTTTTTATGTTATATTTAGGATGACGTCGTCGAACAAGGACTGACAATGTTGTCAATGTCTATTTTCTTTCTTATAATTTACCAGAATGTTGTGTCAATAATTCTGACGACAGCTGAAAATAACGAAATGAAAATGTTTATACAAGTCATGCAACGTCGCGCGCCGTTGCCAACCAAAAATATCTGAAATTCCTCTACTTCAAATACGTTAAAAAGTACTTTTAGTTTTGTTAGGTTGTCAGCCGAAATTTACTAAATGTGACGTCATCCTAAATATAGCGCAAAAATCCTATATTTCCTTGTTCTCCTTTCATCTACCATGTCCCTTTCAAATCGCCTGGTAACTATCTGTTTTTTTTTTCCCACTTGATTTGTTTTTTTTTTACTCATTTTAATATCTATATTTTGCTTTATAATATTCATTATCGTGTGTATATGTGGATCTTCAGTTTTTTATAGAAATAATCCCTTTTTTTAATCAGTAATAAAATCTTATTTGTTGGGTACTCTTTGCCTTCAACCTGCTGCTTCTGTTTTACAACTATTCGATTGTTGTCCATAAAAGCTCACTCCAAACCACCATGGAGTATCTCCGCATCTGTATAATGATCCAGTCCTTCCATTATGTCTCAGAGTTCCCTCGTTGCCAGAATGTCCACCCTCCGGAACACCTGGTACTTAATCTCAGGTTTCCGTCTGCAGTATAAGCTTCCAGGGATAGAGAAAACTTGTAATCTTAGTGCTAGTGCTAGGTTACCAATACAATAATTTCTACTCACGTTGGAAAACCACCAGCTGCAGCTCTTTGTATGCCAACAGATCCAAGACAGTATTTTAACAACCTATAAAAAACTACAGTTTGAGGTTTACCTACGTGAGAAGAAATTATTATGTGTTAGTAGTTAATAACCTTGAAAAGGAAGACTGTCCTGCTCCTTCCAGAACCCTGCGAAAATTAAAAATAAAAAAAGTTTAAGATTGTAGTCTGTACATTTTTGTATTTTTCTCTGGAAACTTGTTTCAACTCAATCTTACTTAACAGTCCTGATAATAGTGTGAATAGTACCGAAACGTCGGTTTGGATTGAGTCAATAAAAAAAGCTGAAAATTAACTTGAATCTCAAGAATGTTCTGACATGGCCCCAAATACTTGCATCTCGTTCCATTAATTTTCAGTACGTATTTCATGTCGTCAATACTTAGAAATACAAAGATCTATTAAAATAATGCCGTCCATACAAATCTTTGTTAATTTAACGGTCCTTCCATTATCTTGAACATTAATTGCGTCTCACAATATCCTTTTATCTTTACGAGCTGAAAACCATTGAATATTGCATGCTTTGCACAAATATTAAAGCCCCAACCGCGGCGAAACGTTAAATGTGAGTGTCCCAAATTAATTAGGAATTTCCAAATGATAATTCCGATCACATACGTAAATGACAGGCGACATACATATAGTGAAACTGTGAATTAATTAACACGTCTGATGCAGACTGTACATATGCACTCACAGCAAAACCGAATGTTGGTAATCAGGAATTTATTTGTGCGAATCTTCAACGTCACGTGGTTGAAGTATACCAATTTTGCTTCTGAGGATTTGGGACAATAATTTTCTTGAACTTGTACCAAGCGAATTTTATTCGCCATAAAACGGTGAAAAAACACTCCATAGTTTACTGAAATAAGGATGTTGCGGAGCTGGATAAAAATCGTTTATCTGTTTTGCTGGCTGGGAGACACTCGACATTTTGCCCTTGTTGTTATTGTCGGACCGGGACAAAAGTTACAGACCATTCGCTTCAAAATTAAAAACAAATTATTTACGAACGACGCTTTCATAATTTATAGCACATAAATTCAATTTCAATTATCGTGCGACTTGAGTTGAATTGATAAAACTTTTTCGACGTCAATTTATGCCAGATTCAACGGAAAGTAGCAATAAAGGCCTAACTATAGTGTCGATTGCTAGGCAGTAATCTGAGCAAATTAATGATACATTTTACAGCACTTGAAGATTTTTAAAATCTGCGCCAAGACGGTGAGCGTCATTAAACAAGATGTATTGAAAAGGTTGCAGTGCCAAATTGATAGTCATTTGAGCATATTCGAGAACATTTTGAGGATCTCACTCCTCATATCAATAAAAATCAAAACTCGTATCCTGAATCCATCTGTATGTATGAGTATGTTCCCATTAGAACGAAATCCACGCTGTAATTTTTATATAAAGAGTTCCGTAATAATCTTATACTATAAGCGAAGCGACCAAACTTTATACACAATTCAGTCTGTATCTCAATGACACCGCTTTATGGTTTGTTTATGCATAATTCACAAAATATTGTCTATTTGTAGGCACCAGTTTTTGACTTGTTTTCAATTTATTCTTTCAGGTGCCCCCCAAGTGTTGCGACACACAGCAGCGCGGGAAATCTTCGTCGAAAGTGGACAAACCGTGGATCTCAGCATGGTCGTTTGCGCTGATCCCAGACCGAGATCGGTCGCATGGGAATGGGGCTCGCTTAGACTAGAAGCCGGCAATGAGATGGGTAAGAATTTTTTGAGATGCTTTTAACAAAATTACTATATTTATTTTCAAGACATAATCGTAGTAGAAGAGAATAGTCTGGGCTGTTGCATAAAACTTGCCTTTCAGCATATAATGTTCTCCTGGAAATGAAAAATGAAACGTAAACGATACTGTCATTGACGTTTTCTTTTTGTTTTGTATTTTGTAACTTTTGAGCAAATTAGTTTCCCGGGAGTATTTGCTTGTAAAAATATTTCAGTAAATATTTCTCTTGCTTTTAAAAGCAGAGATCATTGTCCGGAAAACTATTCTATACAGAGTGTATCAGGTTTGACTACAAAAATTTTACACTTTGGAATATGGCATTTTGAACAAAAAAAGTTGATCCTACATGGAGTCCAAACTCAACCATTTTTAAGGAAAAGGCCTTTGAAGTTTTGATATTTTTTGACGAATATTTGAAAGATAAAGAAAATTTTAATCATTATGAGATGTAAAAAAAATTAGTTCATTCAATTATTAAGTAATTATGCATTTTTAGTCAGCAACAATAATAAAAAATTGAAAAGACAACATGAAAATTTCACTCGTAAATTGGTATCTAAACATCTGGCAACATAGCACAACACACACACTTGATTTATCTTATGTCAGTTAGTTGAAGCATTGGAAATGCGCGTAATTCATTTTTTTTTTGAAAATTAAAGGTTTACAAACGCCGGATATGCAGATAGGTACTTCTTTAGGCAGAATCGTTGCGAAATGCCCGTCTGGCCGCCAGAATTTACAGGGAAAGATTTCCCAAGAGTACCCACCTGATGAAAGAACATTGTGCCCATTTTACAAAGATTGCGTGATACGGGAAGTGTGAGTGTGCAAAATCTGCTTGTTGATTTGCGTGTTTTGACAACCTTTTAACAAAAAATAATATTCTCATAATAAGGATTTGGCAAGTAGCTGAGTAAGTATTATTCAATTTGATGACAGATGAAATAAAATCAACTTCTTGCAAAAAAAAAAACTTTAAATTAACCAGTTTTATTGACATTTATATCCTGGCAAAGATAATACCTGTACTATGTTGTCATGTTGTTAATATTTTTCTAAATTTAAATTCTGCTATATCTCCGAAAATACTAACAATTGACCCATGGTTAATAGGACAGTTTTAGCTTGAAATTGGCCATATTTTCTTATGTTTTAATATTTGTACTCATACCTGATACACCCTTTATACTCTCGTTGAGTCGAGTGTCTTCACATTTGAGCAAATGGTCACTTATAAGGAAATTACTTCTTGTTCCGTAAAATGGGCACTTTTTTATGTAGAATCCATTGCGATATATAAACTAGATATTTATACAGGGTTTTTGGTTTTTTTAATGCGACACCAAACTCATTTTTTTTTATATGAATCACCATTTTGAGGTTTTTAAAAAGAGCGTGAAATTTCCTTAATTATTTTGATATGGCGCATGTTATTTTTATGTTAAATATTATTCAGGGTGTCTGAATATCTTCGGAAGTATTAGGAATTTATCAAATTTCAAATGGTATTTTATTGACCATAAAATTGCGCAACTTTGCCCCAATTTAACCGACCCTGTATTTCATACTGTGTCCAAAATCCCAATGGTTGATCTCGAAAAACTGACACTCTGTATGATATTTAGCATAAATATAACAAGTGATGTACCAAAATTTATGAAGTTTTACGCTCTCTTTAAGAACTTCGAAATATATAGGGTGGTCCGCATGAAAAAGAAATGAGTTTGGTGTCGTATTAAAAAAAAAAAACAAACATCCTGTATAAAAACTATTTATCGCAATGGATTATACATAAAAAAGAATGCTCTAAGAAACAGTTTACCATTATTATTAATAAGAAAGTTATGGGGCATTGAAGAAATCGACAAAATTCGAGAAACGCCCTCTAGGGGCCAAACGATTAGAGAATTTTATTTCTGACATTGATTTTCTCATTAAATTTGAGCTCCAGACACCTGGGTTCATTTTTTTCTATCTCTAAAAATGAGGGGAGTTTCCAAAAGAAAGTGTCCAATTTGGACCACCCTGTATAATCACAAGTGAAATATAATCAACCCATGTTCTACCCAATAACAAGAACCCAAGGCAAGAGCTTGAAATTATTCATGAGAATGCAATAATGTCTTGAGCAATATTAATGATGCAACATCCTATCATGTGGTGAAGAGTGACCAAAAGTAGGATGTGAATCAATAGTCAGACACAGTACCGCTAGATCAAAATGAGGTTAAAATAAAACATTGAAATTCAAAGTACGTCTGAGTTATGCCTTAACCATTAAATTCGATAAGAAACTATTGAAAATTATTTTATATTTGTAACAAGTTCATTTACATTGGTGACTATGTTCTGAAGTTACTATAAGAAAATTGTACGTAGGTAATCATTATTATATCAATTATTTCAGGAAAATTCAAAGTGGACGACGTAACTCAAGAAGAGGGAGAAGATTGCTATTTAACCACACTCCACGTCAAAGATACTTCAGCGACGGACTCGAGGACCTATTATTTGCTCGTGGAAAACGACAAGGGCAAGGATATGCATGCCGTTCAATTATACGTGAATGGTGAGTAGACTAAACATATTATTTTTCCGGAAGCAAAAGTTTTACTCTTTTGAGCGGTGATGCTGTTATTTTCACTTTTTGCCTTAATTTTTATCGTTTTTAAGCCACCGCTGAAGGAGTAAAAGGTACCTATGTTTTAATTTGGAATATTTTATTTAACAGCACAGTTTATCATTCACAGATCATTCAGAATATTGAGATTGGAAGCGAGTCATAAGTCTCTCCGAGAATCTTGAAATTCAAGGGACTCTTGATAGTTATTTATGAACCAAGGCAGTAAAGTGATACTTTATCGAACAAGCCGAGTAAACGGGCGAGTTCGATGTAGACACATTACTGATGTGTTTCATACAAAACTTTATCGCCAACCGTAAAAATTGATAACTGTAAAAAATTGAGATAATTGGGTGGTATGAATAAAAACGAAGTATCTGCTACTACTACAAGTAGTAGTATATTCTTATTTTTTTGTCTGTAGACACTTATTGTTTGTTATATTGGACGTGAATGTACACCCTGTCGTATGATATCAATTAATCCTTGAAGTCGAAGGAGTTTCAATATGTTATCAATGCGTAAGTACTTCTCTATTAAAATTATCATTGGTACTAACTATGGTATCAGTTTGATTTGACTGTTGCCCAAAACCGTCTTCGCGACTTTTGTTCTATTGAGTTTTCCTAACATAGAACTCTGCAAAAATATTTGCGACAGGTAAAATACAGTGCAATAAAGTATTTCTTCACTTCCGAAATCGCAATGGTAATGTATAGTTTTACTGACGGTTGGCGATAGAAATAATGAGCTTCAAGAGTTTCCGAAATTTTGAAGTTGTGAAAAGTCGAAAATTGCACATTCATACCATGTTCCATTCTGAAAGATTTTCCAGACCCAAATACATATTTTTTCCTACCACTGCCTCTGAAAATGTAGCTTTTCGCACGCTAGGCAACCTCTGAAAATAGAGTTTTTCGCACGGCGTGCAAAAAAGTTTTTCACACGCTGCTTAATTAGTTTTTTTATTTATATTGGTCTCGTTTGCTAACCTTTTTTCACACTCTCTCGACTTGTGGAACTCGCCTATCTCACCGTGCAAAAAAAGTCGTTTTCAAAACTTGTTGTTTAAATAACTATTATCGCATTACGAGAAAATTCGTAATTCGTGTTTAATCTTTGAAAAGGCTCGAGGAAAAGTCGTCGTTTCGAGACAACTCGAACGTTTCAAAAAAATTAAAATATTAAAACGACTAGTCCTGACCATAGAGAAATATAATGCATAAAGGAGAGTGTCCGATTCTATACTAAAAAATAGAAGACCGTTTGATCGAAGCGCACCAGTGGGGGATAATAGGAACTACAGTCGTTGCATCAATCGATAAGGCAGGTACCTATGCTTCAAGGCGAAAAAAAGCGGGATATTTAAATGGATGTTTCTGATCTAAATTTTGTTTGCAGTAAATAAATTTCGAAATAAATTGAAAATATATTTTATTAGTAATAATAAAAGCCACAAGAGCACAACAAATTTTTTATTAAGAAAAAATATAAAACAGAAATCATTATTCTCCTTAGGTACTAGCAAAACAAACCTAACCCAAATTTCTATTAAGAGAGAAAAATACATTTTTTACAGGTGTTTCATCTTTTTTAACTTTTTCTCATCTTGCTTGTTTTTTTTGTCTGATTTAAAAATTCTAGAAATGTCGTCATAATACTTTTTTTATAAAAAGTTCTATAGAAACATCAAGTATGTCACTTTGCATAATTTCTTTATGATCTACACAAGTATACCAATTAAAATCCAGATGACTTTTCAAAATTATTTTAATCTTATTTTTTAAATATGATATTTTGTCTGTTTTTGTTATCTGTATATTCCTTAAATTATACAAACATATGCTGGGGTTCGACTGTTTCTGACAACAAATTAGCAGCACATTTTTTGTATTCTCTATGTAATTTAATTTTTTTGATCAAAAATCCAGCTACATAAGTGCATGTATTAGCATCATGGTCTGTAAAATCAAAATTGGTTGATGGTAGTATTATATTTTCAATCTCATTAGACTCTAATTTTTTTAAATTTACAAAATCCAATATATCAGCATTTAAAAAACTCTGCAAATTGTCAAGAATACTAGTGCCATCCATCTCACAATTTCGATTTGAAACGGGTGTTACTAAGTTGTTGAGAACGGATGTTTTAAAGCAACTAACAAATTGGTAGCAATTTGGGTTTGTATTTTCTGCCCCAAAATGCCTTATAGATGAAAACTGATTTTCCAGTGGTTCTTGGTTTAGAGAACGCGTTCTTAAAAATTTAAAACCCATATTTCTACATACATTCCACAATTCTTTTGTGGCATTTATAGTTGTTAACCAACCAGTTTTAAATGGCATTCTGGATTTTGCAACAGACCCAGATGAAGACTTGGATGGAGATATAAACTCCCAACTATTGATTTTTGGAAGAAGCTTATTCCAAAGTGCAAAGTGAGGAGATTTATCAGATAAACACCTACGATACGGTTTTCCACACTCTGGCTTAGGTGTTCTACGATTGAAACTATCAAAAAGTTGATCCATGTCATGCACAAACTCTGCATCAATGGCCTGTAATGGTAAATTGTTTTTCGGATTGCTAACCATTTCTTCAATAGTGGCAGCAACAGTATGGCTTAAAATTCTAGCAGCTATTGAAACTTTCATTTTTGATCGATTTTTTTGGGGATTTTGATATTCTTCCTGAATACGCCTAAGAGCTTGGAATCTTTTTTTCCTGTCTATGTAAAAACAGTGTCTAATGTGAGTCATTTTTGCAAGTTTACATTTATTATATTTAATCTCATATTTTAGAAGAGCATTTCTGGTGTTTTTTAATAAATGAGGTGGGTCAAAGATTGTAAATACTTTCTGATTATTGACAGTGAAATAGGGACCAGGGGGCGGATTACGAACTCTCGATTCGAACCGAAACCGCCATGGATTTCGAATGCACTCCATGCAAATGCATCAGAATGCGTTCGAAATCCATGGCGGTTTCGGTTCGAATCGAGAGTTCATAATCCGCCCCCAGGTCTAGATTGCGAACGATTGTAGGTCCTTGATGGCAAACAGTACATAAAATATTTAGTCCAATCTCCTCTAATTTTATAATAACGGTTTTGATTAAATTTTTTAATTGGTATGTTTCCTATAGTATCCCGAGTAAAAAAATATGCAACTGGCTGCGTCCATTTTTTATGTAGGCCATTGAGCATAGAAGTTAGTGCATGATTTGCATGTTGATTTGTACGTCCTAAGGGCTCTAGATCTATATATCCAATAACCTTGTTAAATTATAAATTCGGAATTCAAAAGGTGATGATTGATGCTGATGATGACACAAAACATATGGTCGCGGCCATTGTAATTTATCATTTTAGTTCTGCCGATTCTGGCCCCCATGCGCGAATTATCTTGCGCAAAAGCTCAAACTGTGTGACAATTAGCACCCATGATTCGGACACTCTCCTTTATGTATTATATTTCTCTATGGTCCTGACCAAGGAAGTAGTAATGGAGAAGATTTCCATTCAAATTCTCCCTGGAAAATATTTTAATTTCCATTTTCTTTAATCAGAGAATGAGTCCCTTTTTTGATTACAGCAATTGGCAAATTGAAATTTTATCATGTATTTTTCATTTTCTTTTTTTTTAATTTCTAGAGCCACTACAAATGAGCACATTGGTAAGCGTGGCCGGTGCTCTATTAGTCGGTATCCTCGTGTTGGTTTGCGCCTGCATCTACGCAATCAGAGCCGAAAAATGTTGCTTTTCAAGTAAGTGATGGTATTTATAAGTCTCTCAATTGCTACAAAAACTTTACCAAACAAAAATTTGTTTTTTGGGACGTAGTAGTTGAAGATTTAATGCAATTTATATTAAGAGGGGCGTCAGATAAGAGCCAGCGCGCCATCTTTTGGGCTTTATGACATACATTAAATATTTTTTAATCACAGGTGTTCAAATTCTCTGTAAGTGATTGACTTATTTACAAGTAGATGGCGACATCTTCAATATCAATTCGTTTACACAGTAATTTACAGTGGACTAAATAATTTTATTCAGA